GTGAGAGGCGCGCCGACATGGACTGGGGGACCGTATGGGGCTTCAGTGGAGCCCCCTGTACACCACGAAACGTGTGAGAGGTGATCCGACCTGAGCTGTGGGGCGGCATGTGTCCCCCTTTTCTGTGGAGTTCCCTGGGGCCACGAGACGTACGCGAGGTGTGCTGGGGGACCTCATGGTGGCCTGGCAGCACCGGCGCCATCTCAGGGGCCTGTTGGGGCATCCCAGGGCCAACTTTGGCCATCTTGGGCCCAGCTGCGGCTACTTCGGCGCCGCGGGCCCTTTGGGAGGAGCCATCTGTCGGGCCCCAGAGGTGCGCGGAGGAGCTCGTCCCTCCATCCCGCGACCCCGCCCCTCACAGACGAGGCTCTGGGCCAGTGGGGAGGGGGGCCCGAGGGCACGCGGGACAGCCGAGCAGCTCGCACGCCGGGCTCACCACCGGCAGACGGGGGTCAGCAGACTCATCGCAGACGTGGGAGGTCTCCGGCGAAGGGGAGGGAGAGGGGATGGGGGAGGGGGAGGGGGAGAAGTAGGAGGAGGAGGAGGAGGAGGAGGAGGAGGAGGAGGAGGAGGAGGACGAGGACGAGGACGAGGAGGAGGAGGAGAGGAGGAGGAGGAGGGAGGAGGAGGCGGAGGAGGAGGAGAGGAGGCGGATGAGGAGGAGGAGGAGCGGAGGGGAGGAGGAGGAGGAGGAGGGGAGGAGGAGGAGCCCCGCCTCCCCCGTCCGCCTCCTCCCCCACGCCCTCTTCTGGCCGACGAGGCTGGACATCGACGGGTCGGAGGGCTTCTCCTTCGGGCTGACCGAGACGTTCCAGAGCATGAAGGACTTGCTGTCGCTGCTCCTCCCTCCTCCTCCTCCTCCTCCTCCTCCTCCTCCTCCCTCTGCTCCTGCTCCTCCTCTGCTCCTCCTCCTCCTTCCTCCTCCTCCTCCCCTCTCTCTCCTCCTCCTCCTCCTCCCTCCTCTCCTCCTCCTCCTCCTCCCCTTCCTCCTCCTCCTCCTCCTTCTCCTCCTCTTCCTTCTCCTCCTCCTCCTCGTCCTTGCTCCCCCGCCTCCATCCACCGTTTCAGCCCGCCTCTGAACGTGCCCGCCTGGAGCATCGGTGTTGAATAAGTGTCGGGTCGGCCTAGCTTTAGCAGGCGAAGAACGGTATAACATAAGTTGTTCCGTCACCAAGGGTGCCTGTGCCAGGGCGGTTGGAAAGTTCATACTCTGACTTGCCACCGTAGGGGTATAAATTTCCCTGCCGCCTTGGGACAGGCGTCCCCGACGGTGAAAAAGTTTGTCTTATACTGCTCTGCTTCGCCCGTTGATACTTCTTTTCGGCTCCCACGGTCGGGTAGTGTAGTCTCCTCTTGATCCTCTTTGATCCTCGCTGCCCCGTCCCCATCTGCTCCTCCTTGCCCCCCCCCTTGCCCTTCCCCCCCCCGCAGGAGGGCGAGCCCTCCTCGCCCGCGAGGCCGCCGCAGGAGGTGGAGAAGCGGAGCCGGCCCTGCCGGGAGGACGAAGCGCACCCCGCAGAGCAGGCGTTTCTAAGCGGGAGTAGTGTCAAAGTAATGGCGAAGCGTCTTGGCTCGACTATAGGCCCACCAAAAAATGTTATCAGAACATGTTGTGGTCTGCGCGAAATGTTCTTAGAACATGTCTGGCGGGGACTTGTCTTGTTTTAACACATCGGGCTCATGTTCTAAGAGCATTGTTTCTGTTCTCAGAACATTTAGGGGGTTCTAAGAGTATTTCGTGGTAGGCCTATAGAAATGCCGGGACGGTCGGTCCCTGCTCAATGGTGGGCCTGGCGCAGAATGATAGGCGGCCGGTGCCTGGACAAAACGTGCCCACGCAGACGGCGCGAAGATTATCAGGCATGATGGCAACGAACATTGCAGTATACATGTGGCTCGCCCTCCCTCACCCCCAAGCCCAAAGTTGAAGGGTCCATAGTTTGTCCCCCGCGCGATGCCTCGCACCCAACCCCGTCAGCTGTGGGTTGAGTAGTGGGCCTGGCGCAGAATGTCAAAGAAGAAAAAACATTAGCATCAACTTTTATGCTCTGCGAGGGTTTCTCGGATCCGCGCTGGGCCCCCCCCTGGCGACGCCTCCCCTGGCGCGCTCCGCGCGCCAGGGAGGAGGGTCCAGCGCGGATCCCAGAAATCCGCGCGGACCGTAGGAAGTTTACGCTCATGTGTTTTTCTCTTCCTCTAGAAGGATAGGCGGCGCGAAGTACAATCGTTCATTCCTTTGTGTACGATTGCTGTTGCTCGCAATACCATGCAACTATTACGGGGGAGCGCGAGCTATTGCACGGGCGACAACTCTCCTTTGCGGAGAAAAGTAACAACATTCCATCCACACGCTAACTGTAGCATCCAGCGCGCAAATGACTGCATCCAGGCACCAACTATTGCAAGTACTATTCCCCACGGAACCATCTGCGTCAGGCCCACTACTCCAGCTGGAGGACGTGCGGGCAGGGGTTCGCGCCGCCGCGACGCGGCGGCGGCGCCAGCGCGGGCGTTCAACGCCGAACGTCGTCGAGCTCACGGCCCGCCTATCGGAATGCTTCTTGCTTCAAAGTCATCTACCTTCCCAGCCCCCCGACGTCGTGTTTTTTCCACAGCCTCGACCCCCAGAGGTCTGGACCCCTGTCCCGGGATCGTCCTTTTTGTCGACGGCCCCGGGGGCCCGGCAAGGGCCCCCAGAGGCCGCAGATGGTCAGCCATGCGCAGAGGGGGTAGGGGAGAGGAGGGAAGGTTTTTTAGAAGCACCCCTGCTTCTTAGAAGGCACGGGCCTCATCTATAGATGTAAGGCCGGCGCCTTCTAAGAAGCAACCTCTTTCTAAGAAGCTTTCCCCCTTCCCTCTAACCCCCTTGCGCGCGCCGCCAAAGTACGGAAAAGCCTCCGGCCGTGTTTTTTTTTTTGCGACGCGAGGCGAGGGGGCCTGGGCTGTTTTCTGGGCTCGTCGATCATGCGCCCAGCTGCCCACGCGCCCTGCGCTGGACGCCCCGGGCTCTGCAGCACGAGGGGGGGGCCCGAGGCCCCCCCCCCCGCAGGCCCAGCGGGCAGCCCACGGCGCGAAGGCCCAGCGGGAAGCAAGCCAGGGCCGCACGGCCTCCGCAGGCGCCTCGCAGCCACGCGCAGAGGGGGTGGGGGGAGGGGGGAGGGGCTCCTCAGAAGCACCCCTGCTTCTGAAAAGGCGCGGGCCTTATCTTCAGACGCAGGGCTGGCGACTCCTGAGAAGCAGCCTCCTTCTAAGACGCCCTCCCCCCTCCCTCCCCCCCCCTTGTGCGCGCCGCCGGGCCTGCCGGAGCGGAGCTCCTGCGCGGCGTCAGAGGCAGACCCCCCCTCGCGCTGTGAAGAAAGCACGACGGGAGGCTCTTGACTATGTTCGGCCTCCAGGGTTATGTCGGGCGTGTCCCTCTGCAGGAGGACTGCTCACAAACGGTCAAAAAGCATGACGAGGCTTTTTCTATCATTTCTCGCTCGTCTTGAGTCTTTGGGCTATCTTTCATTTGTCTTCCAAAGCCCGCCTGTAGGAGGACATACCCGACCGAACTCCAGGGGCCATGGCCGGGCCCTGGGACCGTCAAACAACGACTCTCGGGACAAAGAACAACGGCCCTGGGGGAAGAGCGCCCGGCGTTCGTGCAGGGCGGTCGGGCCCAGGCAGCTCGGGGACAGTTGAGCGGCGAAGGAATGCAGCACCGCACGAGAGGGCGGCCGCGTCAGTCCTTCGACGCCGAGGTCCCCAGACTTCAATCGGGCGTGTCCCTGTACGGGGGGAAGGTCCAACAAGTTATTGAAAAAGATAGTCTGGGGACGATCTTTTGCGTATGTTTGAGCATGTCTTGCAGTTGCCTCTACTATGTCTAAGATTTCGCCCAGAATCCGCCAGTAGGGGGACATGCCCGACCTCACCCCAGATGCGCACCTCGCAGGCCTCTGGTCCAGGCCTCCCAGATGGGGTCGGAGCAGATGGGGTCGGAGGATCGCGCCGCATCGCCGATGCATCGGCGATGCATCAGCGATGCGGCTCGATGCGGGGCCCAATTCTCCCCACGCCGACGTCGCCGATGCATCGCCGACGTCCCCAGTGCCTGGCCGATGCATCGCTGATGCATCTGCGGTGCATTGCCGCTGTATCGGCGATGCGGCGCGATCCTCCGACCCCGTCTGCTCGGACCCCCTCGAGGGACCCAGAGATCCGACGTCGTGATTTTTTCAGTGCGGGGTCCCCAGAAGTCTCGACCCATTCCCTGGGACCGGTTTCTCATCCCGAGTCGCTTTTTGGCGGTCCTGGGGCCCGGCGAGGGCCCCTCGAGGCCGAAAAATACGAAAAGCCTCCGTCTTGATTTTTTCAATACGTTGGATCTCTGGGGAGGCCTCTCACCTGGGGGTGCGACACGGCATCACGGCGCCCGGGGGCGCCCGGGGAGGCCAGGGAGTCCCGCGTCGGCGAGGCGGGCCGGCCGGCCGTGCCCCGGGTGCCGGCGCGCCGCGGGAGGGCGTGGGCCCCTGCCAGGCCCCGGATTCGGCGGGGGCCCCACCCCAGACCCCCTCGAGTTATGAAAAAATCACGACGGGAGGTTTTTCATTATTTTTGGACTCTGGGGGCCCTTACCGGCCCTCGGGACCGTCAAAAAACGACTCTGGACGAAAAACCAGTCCCAGGGAATTGGTCCAGATCGTTGGGGGTCGACGTGGTGAAAAATTCATGACGTCGGGGGTCTGGGACCTTCGGTCGGGCACGTCCTTCCACAGGAGGAACATCCCAAAGTAGTCCCAAAAAACATCTTCTGGGGACGATTGGTCGGTCATGTCTGATTGTTGTTGTTGTTGTTGTTGTTGTTGTTGTTGTTGTTGTTGTTGTTGGTGTTCTGGTTGTTGTTGTTGTTGTTGTTGTTGTTGTTGTTGTTGTTGTTGTTGTTGTTTTCTGGTTGTTGTTGTTGTTGCTGCTGTTGTTGTTGTTGTTGTTGTTGTTGTTGTTGTTGTTGTTGTTGTTGTTGAATCGTCTTGGGGGTATTTTCAATTCTTCGGCCAGGATCCGCTTGCAGGAGGACGTGACACGCCCGCCCGAATGCCAGGCCCCAACGTCGGTGGGGCACCCTGTGAGGCCAGGTCCCGGCGGGTGCCGTGGCTGGTGCCGTGGCCCTGGCAGCCCACCTTCGGTGGACCGGCCCGGGGGGGATCCTCTGGAGCCGCTGGACGCATCTTCCAGACCCAGGCATCTTGGCGTCTCGAAAAAGTCGGGATTCAGATGTTTCGAAGGATAGCAAAAAAACCCAGGATTGCAAGAAGGATTGCAAAAAAACCCAGGATTGCAACAAAAACCCAGGGTTTGTTTTGCAATCCTGGGTTTTTTTTGCAATCCTGGGTTTTTTTTGCAATCCTTCGTTTTCGGTCACCACTCGAATGTAGTCTCGTCCTGGCTTTGTCTCATCGGCGGCGAGCCCCCGGGGGGAAGAGACGAGGGGCGGGCCTCCTCGGGAGGCTCGGAAGTTCCCCCGGGGCCTTCTGAGAAGTTTCCCGAAGGATTGCAAAACAAACCAAAGATTGCAAAAAAAACCCTGGATTGCAAAAAGAAAAAAAACCTGGATTGCAAAAAAAAACCTGGATTGCAAAAAAAAACCCTGGTTTTTTTTTTGCAATCCTTCGCCCTCCCCGAGGACACAGAAAACTGCTCAGAAGGCGCGAGGGCTTCTGAGCAGCCCCCGCCGCCTTCTCAGAGGGCCTTCTCCTCCTCACTTTCCCCCACCTCGCTCGCCGCCGATCACTGATCGGCCACACCCGAGAGTGGCCCTTCGCCAGAGAGACCCCTGGTGCGGGCCCCGGGCGATCCCCCCCAGCGCCCCCCCCCCCCAGCACCGGCCTGCGCGCCTGTGAGTGGACCCACCGTGGCCCCTGAAGCCCCACCCCAATCAAACAGTGGCGAAGCGTCCTGGTGTGCCTACAGGCCCACCGAAGAATTTTCTAAGAACCTCTTGTGGTTCGCACGGAATGTTCTCAGAACATTTATGGTTGGGGCTGTCTTGTGTTAACACATCGGCTTGATGTTTTAAGCACATTGTTTTTGCTATTGGAACATGGTCGGGTTCTAAGAACATGTCGTGGTAGGCCTACAGGAATGTCGGAACGGTCGGTCCTTGTTCAACCCGAGGGCCATTCTTGCCCAGAGGGTACGTCGCCCAGGGGGGCAGCCGACTCTCCCCAGGTTCTACCGGGAGGCGAACTGGGCGCAGTTCAGGGAGCTGACGGAGCCAGCGAGGGGGTAAAAAAAGGGGAACAGGTGAAGTGGGGGCCCAGGGCCGCGGCGACGTTCAGGCGATCGCAAACATGGATCAAGGGGGCGTGGATTAGCGACGGGTCCCGTTTCCATTTTGGAAATCGCGGACTTCCGCCGCCGAGCGAGGCGACACCAGCCGCATTCTGGAGAGGGCGCCTCCCCCGATCCATGAATTTGGCGACCGCGCGCCAAATCCATGGATCGCTAATCCATGTTTGCGCGCCCCCGGGTCGTGATCGCTTCGATGGAAGTTCGGGGGACCGCTGTCGAGCCACGGGGCCGTGGAAGAGTTCTGCGCGACGGGAAGCTGTCTCGGGGAAGGGGTCGAGAAGTCTGGAGGTGGGTACGTACTGCAAGGAGCAGGCCACAACGACGAAAGTCTGTGGACGACGACTGACACAGGTCCCTGCTCATTCCCTCGGGGCTCGACGACGGTATCCGGGAGAGGATAGTGGCCAGTTTCGTGGCGAGTGCCAGTAACCCAACAGTCCGAGGCTGGGATTCATCCATGCAATGAAAACCCATACCGAGAAACACCCTGCTTGCCTCCAGGGTGCCCTGGGTTTCTTGGGTTTCGATGGTTTTTGCGATGGAGAGCGCGACGCTCCCGCACCAAAAGTCAATGGGCATCCTGGGGTCTCAGGGTTGGGTTTCTTGTGGAAGATTTCTTGTGGTCGGGCCTCTGCTGTGCTACAGTGAGCAAGTCACAGCAACGGAAGTCTGTGAACGACGACTGACAGAAGTCCCTGCTCGTTTTAAGTCGGACCTGTCCCTCTACAGGAGGAATGCTCAAAAATAATAGATCATATGCCGGGACACCCTCCCAGATTTCCCCCCCCCTTTGGGCACCCCCCCCCCTCCTGGGGCCTCCCGGGCCCCCCCCCCCCGGGCCGACCAAAAGAGTTCCAGGGAGGACGACTCAGCGACAAGAGCGGCGCAATAGCACCCAAGACGGCCCAAGATGGCTTCAAGATAGCCGAAGAGCCCCCGGGAGGCCCCCACTACGCCCCAAGAAGGGTTCAAACATGTTCCCCAAGAGCGCCCGAGATGCCCATAATTGCCCCATTCCCTTCGGAAGCTGTACATTTTCAGCATACTCGCTTCTTTGGTCTTAACAGCGTATAACAGCGTCCAAGACGGCCAAAGAGGCCCCCAAGATCGCCCCAAGACGGTCCAAGAGGCCCCCAAGAGAGCCACAAGACGGCCCAAGAGAGCCCCAAGACGGTCCAAGAGGCGCCCCTGACGGCCTGAGATGCGCCACCTCACATTCCGAGCCCCCGGCCCCAAGTCGACCCCCAGACCGCCAGCAGACCCCCAACAGGCCCAAAAGAGGCCCCAAGAGGCCCTAAACACCTCCCAAGAGGCTTCACAAGTGGCTCCCAGAGGCGCCCGAGAAGCATGCCGAGAGACCCCAGACAGCTATCCCAGAAGCCTCAGACCCACAACCCAGGCACGGTGGCAGTATGAGCCGAAGGCCCGTAGCTAAGCAAACAAATAGCCTGGTGAAGGGCGCAACCTTCTGCAGTCACGCGTAGCGCAGGGCGCGGCCCTCTCTTCATATACTGCGCGCCGCGGGGCAATGCGGATAGGGGGCGTGCGCAGGCGCGCTGAATTCCTTGTCGTGGTCACGGTCCGCGTGAAGGGTGTGCCGAATAATTTGGATGCACCCGCGGGAACACGCCCACTGACGCAGCAGGTGCAGCTCCCTGTGGGGCACCACCCGTGTGAGGCATGTGCCGAAATGGGTGGGGGGCCGCCATGCGAAGTTGCCCATGGGCTCCACAGGTGGAGCTCCTTCTGGGGTACGATTCGCGTGAGGGGCGAACCAGATTCCACTAGAGAGGCAAACAAATCTTGTACGAGACATTTTAGTGGTTTCGCAACGTCGCATCTGAACATGTGCTGATTGACGCTGTGCAGGGGCAGCAGCTGCCGCCGAATTATTGGTGGCAGTTCAAGGCTGCGTGGCTGCTACGGCAGCTACCAGACTTAGGTAAGAGGCCGGAGCCACGCGATGGAACCAACCGACATAAGCGTGTGATCCGCTGGCTCTTAAAAATGGCCCAAGATGGTATCAAGACGGTCCCAGTACGGCCCGAAAAGATTTCCAAGATGGACCAGGAGGCCCCCAAGACGGCTCCCAAACGGCTTAAAACACCCCGAATACCGCATATCCAGCAGGTTTCCGAGAGGCTCCAAGACGGCCCAAAGACGGTTGGCAGTGGCCAGTAAGTTCTTTGAGAATGCCCTCGGGAAGCCAAAGTCATCGAACTTCATGCCCTGCCGTTGCGACCTGGAGGGGGTTCCTGGCCTTCGTTGCGTAGTGGTTTGGCCCCAGATGCGTGGCGAGGAGGGCGGGGCGGCCTTCGATGCACCCTGACTCGGCTTTGGTGGCGTGTACTACGGAGCCAGACTCGGGCACCCTTCTTTTTTGCTCAGTTCCTCCTCCGGTCCAAGGGCGGATCGAGAGAAGCGCAGGATGTGTAGAAGACGCCCGCACGACTCCCCTACACGTCGACGGGATCCCCAAATTCAATTGCCGCAGGTCCCATTACCGCCCCCAAGGAGGCTCCAGAATCGCCTACTCATGCCTCATTGGCAACTCGCGATGCGAGTTCCTTAGGCGCGGCTAGAACCTAAGCGCGCGTGAAGCGCGCGCTTGTTTCTAGTCAAGAAATAGTCGGGGGGCCGATTGTTTGAGTATTGTTTGCTGTTTTTGGACATGCTTTGCGCAGTTTTCTGTCATCCCAAATCCGCCCGTAGGGAGACATGCCCGACCTAATGCTCGCTTTCGCGGGACTCGATGACGGAATCCGGGAGAGATCGTGGCTTGCTTCGTGGCGAGTACCTGTAGCCCAACGGCCCGAGGTTGGGATTCATCCGTGCACACCGCGTGGCAGACGGACCTTACTGGACTTCGGAAGGCGATAGATAGGAAAACATTTACGTCGGGCATGCCCTCTACACGAGGAGTATTCCCAAATAGCTAAAAACATGTTCAGGGATGATCTTTCGACTATGTTTGACTATCTTCGATAGTTGCCTGACCATGTACTAAGTCGGGCATGCCCCTCTACACGAGGAATTGTCCAACATAGTCAAACAAATAATCAGGGGACGATTGTTCGACTACTTCTGGCTATCTTTGAGAATTGCTTGACCATGTACTGCGTTCCTTCCAAAACCCACCTGTAGGAGGACATGCCCGACCAATGAATACATTCGGGCCACAAGGCGCCGGAGTACAACCATATCAGCCGCCCACCTGGGTACTCAGAACAGCTGCTCCCCAGGCGGTGGACATGAAGGAATCTCGCTGCCTCGCCCACTGCAGTTGCTGCCAGTGTCTGACAACACGTGTTGTTGGGGGATGCATACACCATGCTTCACAGCATTCGCATAATTTGCTTCGTGTTCTCCTCCTCCTCCTCTTCCTATTCTTCCTCCTCCTCCTCTTCCTCGTCCACTGTCTTCCTCCTCCTCCTTCCCGGAGTCTTGGTGTCAGTTTGTTGGTCGTTCTGCCCGGCCCCAGTTGCGACCGCTTAGATTGCCGCTGAGTTCGTCCCCTCGCGATGCGATGTATTGCTACGGCTTGCACTGCGCGTGTCTCGTTGTGCTCGCTTGTCCGTGGACCGCGCGAGAGGCCCTTCGTGAGGGGCAGCGGAGTTCTCGATCTGCCTTTCTTGCTCGCTTTCGCTTCCCAAGAAACCTCCCGTGCTTCACGGCCCCCTCTTCTCAGGCATTGAGATGGCGCCCACGCAGACAAGTCGACTGAGGCAATCTGCACTGGTTCATTCGACATTGGCATTCGAATGTACCGGTGCAGTCCCCAGTCGTTTTCGCTGATCGATGTGCGTTTCGCAGGGTACACTCGGTTGTTTTTGGACCTCGATGAGCTACCGCGCTGAGGTCCGTTCGGCATGCAAAGCCGTGCGCACGTGGAGTGCACTGCAGCTTTCGCCAAAGGGTGTTCTGCTAAACGGTGTTGTGTCAACCTTCGGTCTTTTTCTCTCCACGCGGCCCCGGGCCCCAGCTCGTCCACGCCACTCACGTCCCTTGGGCCATGACGCGCCAGCCCCACCCTCCTCCTGGCCCCGCCCCCCGTCGCAGCCCAAGTGAGCATCGCCCCCATTGGTCAAACAGTGGCGAAGCGCCCTGACGTGCCTATAAGACCACCACATACTGTTCTAGGAACCTTCTGCGGTTTGCACGACATGTTCTTAGAATATGTCTGGCCGATGCAGCTTTGTTTTAAGACATGTGTTGGATGGTATATTGATGTGCTTCTGTTCTTAGAACAGTAGTTGACTTCGCGTGGCTCTGGGTTTGCTTGGTGTGGCTCGTGGGTACCATCGGTCGCAGGGGAACGCAATTTTGTTCATGGCCTCCGCCGCACTGAATCCCCCAGGCCACCAAGAAACGCTGAAGACGACATTTCCTGGCAGGCGTATGGGAATGCCCTGACGGTCGGTCCCTGTTCACCACCACCCCCTTCTTTTTGGCCCCGCCTCTTCGGCGCGCCCCAACCGAGCACATCGTCCCCACTGGTGCTGCCCCCATTCCGTAGGGAACATCCCGGAGGCCTCGCGCGGCGCGTAGCAGTTGCATTATCTAGTCCACACGCCCGCCCCGTCGTACATGCGACGACGGTCGCGCGGCTATGTCCGACGTAAGCCCGACGTAAGTTCAACGTGAATGCGACCGTCACCTCCTCCTCCTCCTCCTCATCCTCCTCCTCCTCCTCCTCCTCCTCCTCGTAAATCCGACGTGAAGCCGATTTGGATCCGACGTGAAGTGGGCCTCACGTTGCCCGCGCGAGGCCTCCAGGCTTCTCTCCTCGCGACCCCCGCTCTCCTGGCGGGCCGCCGAGGAGCAGGCGGGGCTGCGGACGAACACCAGCGCGGGGCTCGACGAAGAGCGCGTCCTCGCGATGCTGGTGCTCACGGCCTTCCACGACGTCATGAAGGTGTCGGCGGCGAGCGAGGGAGGGAAGTGAGAAGGAGAAGGCCCTCTCAGCAGGTTCGGAAGTTCCCTGGCCTTCTGAGCAGTTCTTTGAGCCTTCCCCGAAGACATAAAAAAATGCCCAGAGGGCGCGAGGGCTTCTGAGAGGCCCCGTCGCCTTCTGAGAGGGCCTTCTCCTTCTCACTTCCCCCCCTCGCTCGCCGCCGAAAGGTGTCGGCGCTCCTGCCGCGAGTGCGCGAGGGCGTCGCCGAGTTCTGTGGCTACAGGCCGGGCGCCCCAGAGGGGGGCCAGGCCTTCGAGCGACCGGAGGAGCTGACACGCCTTTCTTCCTCCACAAAAACCAGACAGCCCCAAAACACAACAAAACACAATACACCAAAACCAAAAACAAACAACTACGAACCCCCCCCCCCCCCCCCAAAAAAAAAAGCAAACAACCTTTAAACAACACACACACACACAAATAACATCGGAAGCAAAACGAGGGCGGGTCCGCCAGCGGAAGGCTGGCCGAAGCCAGCGACGCCACCCGAAGCTCGAGCAGCTCGGCGGCGAGCGAGGGGGGGAAGCGAGAAGGAGAAGGCCCTCTCAGAAGGAGGCGGGGCCTCTCAGAAGCCCCCGCGCCTCCTGATAAGATCGACGTGTCTTCTGGGAAGGCTTCGAAAACTTCTCATGGAGGCCCTGGGGCTTCCGAGCCTCCTGAGAAGGCCCGCCCCTTCTCGTTTTCCCCCCGGGGCTCGCCGCCGAAACGAGGTGCAGATTGTTGGGCAGGGCTCAGGGCTTCCGGAGCCCGCCCGCCCCCAGGTGCGGCGAGGAGATCGGCGATCACGACGTGGCCCTCGCGTACCTGCTCACCCACGCCCCTCAGGCACTGCCGTCGTACCGCGGCATGTCGGAGCGGTCTCGAGAGCTGGTGAGGTTCACGCAGGGCCAGCTGCAGTACAACATGGGCTGGTTTGTCCAGGCGGAGGCGCCGCCCGGGATCCTCCTCCGCCAGGTCAAGGCGATCGTCGGGTCCGGACGCTTCGATCCGTCGGACCTGTCCTTCTACTTCGTGCACTGGCTCACGGACCTGGCTGGGGCCGAGGATCTGCGTCCAGAGTGTCGGCAAACTGCGCTCCACCATGCCCTCCTCCTCCTCCTCCTCCTCCTCCTCGTCCTCCCCTGTCCCTGCCCGGCTCTCCCCCCCCCCCCCACCTCCCCTCGAGGGACGTCCGATGGAGGGGTGCGAGAAGTTCGTGCTCAAGTTCCCGCCGAAGGTCGGGAGGAGCAGGGGGAGGGGGAGGAGGAGGGGGAGGGGGAGGGGGAGGCGGAGGCGGGAGGGGCAAGACGAGGGCAGGGAGAGAACGGGGACGAGGCGAGACGCCGCGGACAGAGGGAGAGGGAGCCAGGGCGAGCAGTCTGGAGGGGAAAGAGGGCGGCTCGAGTCCCGGGAGGAGCAGGAGGGGCGCGGAGGGACTCTGGAGGCTATGCTTGGCCACGGAGTGGCATCCCGATGGTCAGCCACCCCCGCCAGAGCTCAGACTCGTTTCTCGGGGCTCGCGCGGGAGCGGAGGCGCAGGAGCAGGTGGCGGAGCAGACGGATGCCAAGGGGAGGAAGAGGAGGAGGATCAGGAGCAGTAGGACCGGGGTTAGCCCAGGACGCTTCGGCGATGCTGCCTCACGCGCTCTCCCGTCCCAAGTCCTCTCTTCATGGGTCCATGTGGCGACGTACTCTGCGTCCTTGCGGGGAGTACCCCAGTGAAATGCGAGTCTCCCATGGGCTTGCAGTTAAGGCGAGAGCCCCGTTTCGAGTATCAACCGCCTCCCATCCTTGCAAGTATGCGTCGAGATGCCACGGGGGCGAACAAGTTCGAGTCATTGTCACGCGACACTTCAATTTTGAAGAGGAGCGCCGTCCATCTGTGTAACTGCTGCGCGTGTTGAGGTTCTGGGCGATAGGATGCGAGGGGTCGCTAACGCCAGCCCTGATTTGAGATGGAGCCGTGGGCCCCCCCGCACCCATATGGTCGTTGTGCCTCGGGCGTCGGGTCATTACAGTTGGGTCGATATGTATAAATCCCTGTACATACACACCCCCACACACACATATGTGCATGTATATGTATATATATATATATATATATATATCATGCTCATGTAGCGCGATCTGCCTCTCTAGGGAGGGAGAGAGAGAGAGAGAGAGAGAGAAAGGGGGAGGGAGAGAGAGAGAGAGGGAGAGAAAGAGAGAGGGGGAGCGAAAGAGAGAAAGAGAGAGAGAGAGAGAGACACAGAGAGACAGAGAGAGATACAAAGAGAGAGAGAGAGAGAGAGATGGAGGGAGGGAGAAGGAGTCAGAGGGAGAGAGAGGGAGAGCGAGGGAGTCAGGGATGGACAGGGGCAGGGACAGGGGAGAGGGGAGAGGGGAGAGGGGAGAAAGAGAGAGGGAGAGAGAAGGAGAGTGAGAGAGGGGGAGAGAGAGAGAGAGGGAGAAAGAGAGACGGAGAGAATCTAGAGGGGGCCAGGGCGGCGCGGAAGGTGGAGGCCCGCCAGACCCGCCGTGCTTCCTCCCACCCCCTCCCACAGGTGGCCTGAGCCCTAGCTTAAGTCGGGCGTGTCCATCTACAGGAGGAGTATTCAAAACTAGTCGACAAAAATAGTATGGAGTCGATTGTTCTGCTACTGTCCACTATCATTGCGCATTGTTTGAGTATGTTGTTATTCTCTTGCGCAGGATGTCTAGAGCTCCGACGACTTTATTTCGGCACGGCACTGGTCGATGCAGCCCCTAGGCCCCCACCTCCCAGCGCGTCCCCTCCGCATCCATTTTCTACAGCAAGCATACCGAAGCAGCCCCTTCGGCCCTCCGCATACCTCCTCCACCAACCAGCGCAGACAGCCCGCCAGCCAGCGCGCCCCCTCGGCACTGGTCCCACCAGCCAGCGCGCCCCCTCCGCCACGACTTCTTTGTAGGCACCGGTCCCACCAGACAGCGCCCCTCCCTCACCCACCAGCCAGCTCAGCCAGCCCACCAGCCAGCGCGCCCTCTCGGCCCCGACTTCTTTATTTCGGCACTGCACCGCCCCCCACCGCACCCTCCGCGCAGCCAGCCCGTCCGCCTCGCGCCCCCTCCGCCCCGACCGCTTTATTTCGGCACGGCACTAGTCCCACCAGCCAGCCCCACCCCTCCGCCCTGACCGCTTTCTTTCGGCACGGCAGCGCCCCCCTCCCCGACCAGCCAGCGCGCCCCCTCCGCCCCGACCGCTTTATTTCGGCACGGCAGCGCCCCCCCCCCACCCCGCCACCCCCCGCGCAGCCAGCCCCTCCGCCTCGACCCCAGCGCGCCCCCTCAGACCCGACCGTTTTTCTACGGCACGGCACCAGCCCCGCCAGCCAGCGCGCCCCGTCCGCCCCGACCGCTTCTTTTCGGCACGGCACTGCTCCCACCAGCCAGCGCGTTCCCTCCGCCCCGACCGCTTTATTTCGGCACGGCACCGCCCCCCCCCCCCCACACCATCCAGCGCACCCCTTCCGCCCCAACTTTTTGATCTAACAGCCAGCGCGCCCGCTCCGCCCCGACCACTTTTTTTCGGCACGGCACGGGTCCCACCAGCCAGCGCGCCCCCTCCGCCCCGCCCGCTTCATTTCGGCACGGCACCGCCCCCCCCCCCGCATCCCCTGCGCAGCCAGGCCCTCCGCCTCGACCCGGCCCTCCGCCCCGACCTCTTCATGTCGGCACAGCGCCAGCCCCGCCAGCCAGCGCGCCCCCTCAGCCCCAACCGTTTTGTTTTCGGCCCGGCGCCGGTCCCACCAGCCAGCGCGCCCCCTTCGCCCCGACCGCTCCATTTCGGCACGGCGCCGTTTCCCCCCCCCACCACCACCAGCCAGCACGCCCCTCCGCCCTAATTTCTGAATTTCGGTACGGCCCCGCCCCCCCCGCACTCCCCGCGCAGCCAGCCCCTCCGCCTCGATTATTTTATTTCGGCACGGCACCGGTCCCCCCCCCCCACCCTGCGCCCCTTCCGCCCCGACCGTTTTATTTCGGCACGGGACCGCCCCCTCCCCCACCAGCCAGCGCGTACCCTCCGTCCCGATTTTTTCTCGGCACGGCACCGCCCCCCCCTGCCCCCCCGCGCAGCCAGCCCCTCCGCCTCGACCCCAGCGCGCCCTCTCCGCCCCGACTGCTGTATCTCGGCACGGCACAGGTCCCACCAGCCAGCACCCCCCTTCCGCCCCGACCGCTTCAATTCGGCACGGCGCCAGTCCCACCTTCAGCGCGCCCCCTCCGCCCCGACCGCTTTATTTATGTACGGCACCGCCCCCTCTCCCCCACCCACCAGCGCGCCCCCTCCGCTCCGACTTCAGCATCCACCAGCCAGCGCGCCAGCTTCGCCCCGACCGCTTTATTTCGGCACGGCGCCTGTCCGACGAGCCAGCGCGCCCCCTCCGCTTCGATTTTTGTTCGGCACTGCGCCCCCCCCCCCCCGCCAGCCAGCGCGCCCCCGCCGCCCCGACTGCTGTATTTCGGCGCGGCACTGCCCCCCCCCCTCCCCCCGCGCCCCCCGCGCAGCCAGCCCCCCCGCCTCGACCCCAGCGCAGGCCCTTCGCCCCGACCGCTTCACTTCGGCACGGCACTGGTCCCACCAGCCAGCGCGCCCCCTCCGCCCCGACCGCTTTATTTCGACACGGCAACGCCCCCACATCCCCCACGAGCCAGCGCATCCTTCCGCCCCGACTTCTTGATCTAACACTCAGCGCGCCCGCTCCGCCCCGACCGCTTTATTTCGGCACGGCACTGGTCCCACCAGCCAGCGCGCCCCCACCGCCCCGCCCGCTTCATTTCGGCACGGCACCGCCCCCCCCCGCATCCCCCGCGCAGCCAGCCCCTCCGCCTCGACCCCAGCGCGGGCCCTCCGCCCGGACCTTTTTATGTCGGCACGGCGCCAGCCCCGCCAGCCAGCGCGGCCCCTCCGCCCCGACCGTTTTATTTGTTTACAGAGTGCTAGAGTTCCGAATTCTATATTTCGGCACGGTGCCTGTCGCTCCTCCACCCTTTGCCGCAGCCGCCAGCGCGCCCCATCCGCTCTGACCCTTGTATTTCGGCACGGCACCAGTTCGCCCTCGGCCCCCCTCCGCATCTAGCCCACCTCTCCCTCCCTCGCCAGCCAGCGCGCCACCTCAGCCCCGACCCCTTCATTCCTGAACGGCACAGGCGCCGCGCCCCCCTCTGCGGCCAGCCCATATTCCCTTCCCCCACTTGCCAGCGCGCCCCCTTCGCCTGGACCGTTTTACTTCGGCATGGCACCGGCACCTCGCCCACCCCCCCCCCAACAGCCAACGCACCTTCTTCCGCAGCCGCCAGCGCCTTCTGCGTCCCGACCACTTTCTTTCGGCACGGCGCCAGTCCCCCTTTTACGCCCCTTCCGCAGCAGCCAGCCCACCTCTCCCCCCTTGCGCCGGCCAACATGCCTTGGCACGGCATTGGCGCCGCGCCCGCCCACCTCCCCATCTCCGCAACCAGCCCACCTCCTCTCCCCCACCAGCCCGCGCGCCTCCTCCGACCCGACACTTTTATTTCGGCGCGGCACCAGCGTCGCGCCCGCACTCACCCTTCCCCCCCCCTCCGCGGCCAGCCTACTCCTCCCCCGCAGCGCGCCCCATCCGCCGCGACCCCTTTCTTTCGGCACACCATTGGCGCCGTGCCCGCCTCCCCCCCCCTCCGCGGCCAGCCCACCTCTTCCTCTACCGACAGCCAGCGCGCCCCCTCCGCCCCGACCGTTTCGGCACTGCACCGGCACCGCGCCCTCTCCCCTCCCCCCGCAGCCTGCAAATTTCCCTTCCTCCTCCCACCAGCAAACGCGCCCCCTCCACCCCGGCCCACGTCCTGGGCTGGCGCCCCCCCCTGCGCCCCCACCTTTTTTTTTCAGCACGGCGCGAGCACCGTGCCATTTGCCCCCCCCACGGCCAGCCCAACTCCTTCCCCGCCCACCGGCCAACGCGCCCCCTCCGCCCGACCTTTTTATATCAGACTTCGTTGCGGCACCGGCACCGCGCCCCCCCTTACGCCCCCACGGCCAGCCCACATCCTCCTTGCCCGCCAGCCAGCGCGCACCCCGCCCCGACGTTTTACTTCGTCACGCCAGCGGCGCCGCGCCCTCCCCCCCCCCCCAAACAGCTAAGCAAGCCCCGTTTCGCCCACCAGCCAAAGCGCCCCCTCCGCCCCGACCTGTATTTCGGCACAGCAGTTGCGCCGCGCCCTTGCCTTCCCCCACCGCCAGCC